GCCGCACAGGTTTTGCGGCATTACCCAAGCCCAGAGCACAGCATGACCCACATTTGAACATTTTTCATGTGTGACGCAAACCTGCAGTTGGTTTGGTTTTGGAGAGCTCATTTAGAAAGTTCTCTGCAGATTCTGGATGCTGAAAAACATCTCCAAATCCACTGCAGAAGTCACCGATTGATTGATTCTGACAGACTGAACCAGCCCAGCTAACAGCGAATGTTCTGGCAAGGTCCTATTAAAGTTATGTACAAACGTTCTTCCATTAACATTAATAGAACGTTTATTCAAAGTTATCTGGTCTTCAATAACGTTCGTCAAACGTTAGCACGAAAACGTTATTGATACATCAGTTTTTCTGAAACATTTTAGCTGGACGTTCATCTAAGATGGCTTAGAGAACATTCCAAAGTAACGTTGCCATAGTGTCCGCAAAATAATAAAACGGAACGTTCAACGTAATGTTGCAACATAACCAAAAAACAACACGCTTTCAGAGAACATTCAGAGATATAGTGTTCATAACTAAATGGGAACGTTAGCCAAACGTTCTTAGTACATATTTTTGTTAACAGTAGAGAAATGCATTTGCAGATGTGCAGCAGAGGGAGGCCTGAATGTGACATGCTTTCCGAACTCTCCTGTGCTGGCATCAGTCTCTGGCAGAGCATTAGTGCTGATTGTGCTGAATTAGATCCATCACTCAAACCTCACGAGACGATCACAGATGACTGCAGAAACACTCGTCTGTCTGCACTGAGCCTCCTGTCTCTCTCGCTCTCGTTCTGTCTAACTGTTCCAAACACAAAACATCTCACATATTTCTCAAACACATTCATCATTCTCCCTCCACAGACTCATGTCAGAGTTTCTCAGCTATAATCAACTGGATTTTCCTTTATATTGTAGGTGATACAGTTATGTGACAAGCAAACCATATTCTTGAAGCCTTCTTGATTAGGTTCTTCTAAGGTTGAAATTTCAAGTGCATGCTGGTGTGAGAGCATGAAGTCTGGTGTGTCCTTATGTACTAGAGCGGATCTGTGTTTGAGAGCGCCATCTTCTGGTCATCTCAGCACCATACACATCTGCGTAGACCTGTTCTGTTGGGGTCAGTTTGACTCATATTCCATTTGCTTGAACTTTTTATTTCTTCTTGAAATTTGGTGAATATTTCTCATTTAGGGTCATGAATGTACATGCAAAGTTTCGACACATAGACACGTTTTGGAAAGGCTGGACACACTTTGTTACGACTTTGGTGTTGGGAGTCAAATTGACTCTCATTTGTTTCCAAGCTATTTCCAACACTTTGAAAAACTCTGAAGAATCAGATAAAAACATAAAACCTTTATTATAGCTTGTCAAACACCAAAATATTAAATACATAATATTCAAGACTCAGTGCACTCAAAATTGAGACTCGTCTTCTGATCCAAGGAAAATTTGCTGTTTGAGGTTGTTTTTTGATGTTAGTTTTTTGCATCTCGATCACTAGACTGTAGAAGAAATGTGAGAAACCCAATTACTCTTACAAGGGTTTGAGAAAAAGACATAAATAATAACAAAAAGAAAGAGGAAGTACAAATACCAATTTTTATTTTGTTCAATTTATTTTGAACAAAAATATGAGGGTCAAATTGACCCCTCGCACAATAAAAATAAATGGAAAATTAAATAATTAAATTTCTCACATATTTGACATTTTTTAGTCTCTGACAAACTACAATAGAGCTTTTCTATTTTTTACACGAGTCTTTAGTGTTTTTCATTGTGGCGATTTTTGGCAAGTTGCATTGAAACCAGTGTGGGTCAATTTGAGCACAAACACAGAAGATTAACAGGAGGGTTAATCTATATAATCTATATCTGCCAGAGCTGGGTAGATTCATCACAATTTGTAATCTGTTAATAATTCCAAATTACATGACAAAAATTGTAGTTAGTAACGTAATCCATCACATTACACATTTTAGGTATAATCAGACTACTTTTAGATGACTTCTGACCTAACTCGTTCATCACAGTGATTTAAATAGGATAATCTTGTACCATATATTGATATATAAATACAAAGAGTAAGAAAATATATTCCATTCATTGTAATTAACAACATAAAGTGCATTAAACATTATATTGTATAGGCTATGTTTCCCAAACTGGGGTTCGTGAATTTATTGAAAAGCAAGTCATTTTCAAATAACATCAATCAAAATAAAACACCTACTAACAAAATGAAATATTTACCTGTATGTCATGCGAACATTAACCAACGTCAGAGAACCGTGAACATGCAGATGTGATACTTAATTATTAAAATATTTATTTTAAGATCTCAGGGGTTCTTCAAGTAAAAATATTAGGTGAAAAATGATCAGATGACAAAGTTTGGGAATCCCTGCATTACATGTAATAATGTGAATTTGTGCATTTTAATGTGTTTGAAAGACAAAAGCCTTCCAAAGACACAGTGATACATGGTTAAATAACCCACTGAGTGATAATTCAAATAAACATTAATGTTCATCAGAAGTAAACGCAATGTTGAAACACTTCTTGAATCCAGTGGAGGAATGCTGTGTGTCCTCCTGACTAGTGACCGGTCTCTGAATGTGTGAATGTCCACAAAACTGACAGACTTTTTGAATGTGTGTAAGCGGTCGGCTGATACTGTAATCAGTTACTGCCAGCTCTGGGAGCTTCTTCTGTGTGCACCGACTGATGGAAGTCTTTCTCTTTGGCTCCTGACAGATGCCTCTGGAATCATTCCGGCGTCCTGGACCCACCAGGATTCCCAAACCCAAAGCATCGAACAGCGCCGTCCAAACCCCACTGGACTCTGGGAAGCGTGCATCTAACAACCTGAACCTGATGAACCAGACTACCAAATCATGAGTGAAGCGTCCACATGCCTGACCCATTTCTGTTGATTGTGTTTCATTTTATTTGATCGCTTTTGGTGCTGTGACGAGACTCTATATTCAGCCGTATTCAAAAGTACAAAGACACTGTGATGATAACCTCCTCATCTTTCACTTTATGGTGCTGAACTTTGCTCTCTCTTTTTTTCTTCTGACAAAACGTAATTATAGCACTCATTAAATTGGTAGTAACCGCTGTTATGGTTTTGAAGCATCAAGTATTTTTGATGATTGATATCTGGATGTTAATAAAAGACTTTTTATATCTTGCACATCAGTTTAAAACACCATTATTGATTATGATTTCATTAAATCATTATTTAGCACCCGGACTTTAAATGGAGGTAGAGTTAAAATCAGTGTTGGGAGTAACTAGTTACATGTGACGGCGTTACGTTATTTAATTACAAAATAAATGTAACTGTAATCAGTTACAGTTACTAAGAAAAATTTGTAATTAAATCACAGTTACTTATGAAAATGTTAATGATTACAAAGGGGATTGCATTTGAATATTTTCACACATCCACATCCAGATTTAATTGATTTCTTTCCCAAATTGCACTGATTACTCTGAGACATACGGCCCTATAATTCCTCGATGCGGAAAACACCGACTGGTTCCTAGAATCCAGTCATAGAAACGGATTCCTATAGCCTAACGCCACATTTTGGACGAATAAATCAAAAGTAGGTCAATACACTTGAATCAAAACGTGATATGGACTAGTGTCTGTGAATATTAAGCTGCAAAAAGACAATACTTAGTGTGAAATGCTTACTTAGTTAAGCAGCAGCAGCGCATTGCTCATCAGCCATCACTCAAAATACTGAATAAAGGACATCATGAAGACAACCTTTTTTATGTGAGGTCCATGCAAAAAATAGGGTTGTCCATGTTTCAGAATTTGCTGTGGGTGTGTGCGTGTGAGATTCCCCGGCCCTCGTGGAAATGAATGGCGCAGACATGCGGTTTCTTTTAGTACACACAGGCCTACTGAAGCTCGCGGTGTTTTCAGCCTCAGTATATGAGTACACGAACACATAAACATCATCTCTAGAACCGCTCTGAGTCACTTCATCAGCATTTGACTTCTTTTGAGAAAGCTATCATCATACATACAAAGAGACAGCAATGTTTCAGGAGTTTAGTACACAGAATAGGACGCGTGCTTGTTAGATAACTGTATTTGAGTTGATGTATATGCTTATATTTATTATTATTTTTTAATTAACTATTTTTTTCCCAAACCATGCAGTGTTTCCTGTAGTTATGCAAAGATTTTGGTTTCAAAAACAGTATCAGTAAACTGTTTCTTATGATTTTAATTAAACCCGCATTGCACTTCAGATCAATCTCAAAGTAAAGGCGGCAGTAAAGTCTGATTTTGTGGTGGATGTGTTGAGTTATGATCATCTTAATTCTAGTGATGAAGGATTGTGAAAGTCTGAGCACTACTGTAAGGTTAACCCTGCATGCTGTACATGTTTGGAAATGATTAACAGTTGCAAATAAACATTCATTAGAAATTTAGAAAAGTAATCAAAAAGTAATGAAAAGTAATCAGTTACATTACTTTAATAAAGTAATTGAAAAAGTTACACTACTGTTACATTTTAAATAGGGTAACTTGTAATCTGTAACCTGTTACATTTCCAAAGTAACCTTCACAACTCTGGTTAAAATGAAGTTAAGCTCAAATGAAAGCCTTGAACTCACAGTTTAGTCGAGCCTGAGCTTCTACAGCACAGCACTGACGTCCAACCAATCAGAATGACGCCTCGCAGCATCGAGCCAATCAGAGCGCACGAACGGAAGCCCCGCCCGCGCGCTAAATGCTGTGGGCGGGGCCTGGCGGGATGAACGCGTGCAGAGCGCACGCTCTTGGAGCCGAAGAGAACTTTCCTCCGCGCTTCATCGCTGTTTATTGATTAGTTTCATTGATGTTCTTCAGAATTTTAGTTTCTTTAGTTTTCATCGGTGTTTTAAGTCGCGATCCCGAAGGTTACTTTAGTTTCACGCTGAAAAACTGAGGCTTTATCGCGCCATTCCTGCAGGAAGAGAAGAAAGAGTTTAAGATGGCAGATGATTCTGATCAGAGGTCAGTGTTAGTGGAGATCCCAGAACCACAGGCCAAACTCACAGGTGAGGACTTCTTCATCATCACCTTCATCATCATCATCAGCATTCATCTTCATCATCATCACCTTCACCTTCATCATCACCAGAAGAAAGAGTTTAAGATGGCAGATGATTCTGATCAGAGGTCAGTGTTAGTGGAGATCCCAGAACCACAGGCCAAACTCACAGGTGAGGACTTCTTCATCATCACCTTCATCATCATCATCAGCATTCATCTTCATCATCATCACCTTCACCTTCATCATCACCATCATCATCATCATCATCATCATCACAATCATCATCATCACCTTCATCATCATCACAATCATCATCACCTTCATCATCATCACCATCTTCATCATCATCACCTTCATCTTCATCATCATCATCTTCATCATCATCATCACCTTCATCATCATCACCACCTTCATCTTCATCATCATCACAATCATCATCATCACAATCATCTTCATCATCATCATCTTCATCATCATCATCTTCATCATCATCACCTTCATCATCATCACCACCTTCATCTTCATCATCATCACAATCATCACAATCATAATCATCATCATCACCTTCATCTTCATCATCATCATCTTCATCATCATCACCACCTTCATCATCATCACCATCATCATCATCACAATCATCTTCATCATCTTCATCATCATCATCTTCATCATCATCACCTTCATCATCATCACCACCTTCATCTTCATCATCATCACAATCATCATCATCACAATCATCTTCATCATCATCATCTTCATCATCATCATCTTCATCATCATCACCTTCATCATCATCACCACCTTCATCTTCATCATCATCACAATCATAATCATCACAATCATCTTCATCATCATCACCTTCATCATCCTTCATCTTCTTCATCCCCATCCTCATCATCATCTTCATCATCATCACCTTCATTATCATCACCTTCATCTTCATCATCACCATCTTCATCATCTTCATCATCATCACCTTCATCATCATCACCACCTTCATCATCATCACCATCTTCATCTTCATCATCATCACAATCATCTTCATCATCATCACCTTCATCTTCATCATCATCATCATCTTCATCATCATCACAATCATCTTCATCATCATCACCTTCATCTTCATCATCATCATCACCTTCATCTTCTTCATCCCCATCTTCATCATCATCTTCATCATCATCACCTTCATTATCATCACCTTCATCTTCTTCATCCCCATCTTCATCATCATCTTCATCATCATCACCTTCATCATCATCACCTTCATCTTCATCATCACCATCTTCGTCTTCTTCATTATCGTCATCACCTTCATCATCTTCATCATCACCACCTTCATCTTCTTCATCACCATCTTCATCATCATCACCTTCATCTTCATCATCACCATCTTCGTCTTCTTCATTATCGTCATCACCTTCATCATCATCACCTTCATCTTCATCATCACCATCTTCATCATCATCTTCTTCATCACCATCTTCATCATCATCACCTTCATCTTCATCATCACCATCTTCGTCTTCTTCATTATCGTCATCACCTTCATCATCTCAGAGTCTCAGTGCTGAAATTATTATATGGGTCATTCCTGGGATTCGGTAATATTTCAGTCCCCCAGACTTTTGAAAGTGGTGGTTCACTAAAATGAAGTTTTAAAAGCTTTTTACAAGACTTTGGTATGCCCATTATAATGAATAAAAAATTATAATTGCCGTTTTAGCCTAAAATAATGTCTCATTTTTTTGGCAATAATGTAATGTATTATATATATATATAAAACAGACTTTCCAGTCCCTCAGTCTGAACCCAACCCCGTCACACTAACCATTCTTCATGAATAATTTAATAATCCGCTTATATTTGACATCATTTAGCAGAAATTACATCATTCAGGTCTCTTTAATAGTGGCCCGGAAAATGCTTAGTAGCATCATACTTTTTGTTCATATTTTCAGGCGTATTATATGCAGGGAGCGTACGGTCAAGCTTAACAACTCAACCCCGTCACATTAAGTTAAGATGGAAACGTACTATTTTTCAACATTTTATTTGAACCCGTAAGTATAGAATGAGCTTATTTTATTGCTGCCATATGTTCTACTCTCCCACACTTCAGGAAACACAACCCCGTCACAAATGCATTTCTCATTGTTTCGGGGTTGTAAACTTGTGACAGGGTTGAGTTATTTACTTCATTTATCAATAACTTTAATAAAAAAATATATAAAATAGTCATGGTTTCAGTAAATATATTCTTACCAAAATCATGACCGCTCATATTTTTGTTATAAATAGAATATTTGATGTAATATGTTAATATGCACAATGCATCCCTTCAAATGTGTTACAGTCTTCAACCCCGTCACACTTTGTATCATTAATATTTAATATTGGGGAATAACAGGGAAGACAATTAAGAATGAAAGCATTTCTTGCTGATTACCATCTGACATGTTATGGACTAAAACAATAAATTGTGGTTTTAGATAAACATCTAAATTAAAAATATTTTTTTTACAGAAATAAAGAGCCCATAAAAAAAGGAAAAGAATAAAAGGTCTTTATTGCCTGAGGTGGGGAAATATGATTTGTTGGATGTTTGATGTGTGCCTTGTGATGTGGGGTATTTAGAAAATTAATGTAGAAAAAATATATATATTCCAAGTTAAGATGTTACCGAATCCCAGGAATGAATGTTTGATAGTTTGTTTATAGTCATGGAAGTTAATAGAGTCTTAGAAGGCCAAGAAAAAACAATGGAACATTCTGGAGTCAGTATAAAGTCTCTTTTATTTCTATAGTGCTTCATGCGATTCTGAGCAGCTTCACAGAAAAACAAACAGGAGAATAAGAAAATCACTGATGCAAAGTTTCCAGATCAGTCTGATTTTCTCATCCAGTCTTCACAAACAACAACAGCAAGCAAAGAAACCCTTGGATATGAAGCCGCAACTTCTGCTGACAATCATAAAGATATGATGATGATGATGATGATGATGATGATGAAGATCTTAATGTATTTCACCTCATCGTTGTCAAATGTCTGTGCTGACACCGCTTTCCTTCATCAATAGCCTCATAAGTCAGTTTTCCCCCCGCAGGACGTCTGAGAAGATCCTACATGGATATCCTGTCCGGCGGTGCGAGACACGGGACGCACGGCTGCGGCGTGAGACCTGGACACGCGTGTGAGTAACCCTGAGATGCATGTGTGCATGTGTGTGTCGTGAAGTCAGTGCTCACAGATGCTCTTCTGTCTCTGAAGGGGACGCAGGTTCAGGGAGACGCCGGAGCAGAGGCGGTTTGGACGCGTGTGAGACGTCCGTCTCCAGACAGCTGCTCCGCAGTCTTCTGCTGGCCGAGCAGGTGAGAGCAAACCTGTGTCTTTACAAGCATGCGCGGTTACGCTAGCGTCCCGTGATCGTGCCGTTTCGTGCTCTCAGTCCGTTCAGATGGAGTCCGGCTCCTTCACGTCTGACCTCAAGCTCTTACTGGAGGATCTGCATCTGAAGAAGGCCAGCGTCTACAGATCCATCCCATACTCCCGCCTGGCCTCCAACCGAGACGCACACTGCTACAGGAAAGCTCGTCCACACCTGATGGCCTTCAGGGTGAGAGCAAATCACTGTTACAGTTACGATCATTGTAATATATTGTTTCATGCACTGCTGGGCAAAGTTTGGAATCATTAAGATTTTTTGAAAGAAGTCTTCTGCTCAGCAAGGCTGCATTTATTTGATCAAAAATACAGTAAAAATAATGAAATATTATTACAATCTAAAATAAATGTTTTCTGTGTGAATATGTGTTAAACTGTAATGTATTTCTGTGATGCGCAGCTGTATTTTCAGCATCATTACTCCAGTCTTCAGTGTCACATGATCTTCAGAAATCAGTATAATATGCTGATTATTAGAAACATTTCTGATTATTATCAATGTTGAACACAGAAAACACTCAAAATTTTTGTGGAAACTGTGATACATTTTATGTTTCAGGATTCACAGATGAACAGAAAGTTCAAAAGAACAGCATTTATTTGAAATAAAATACTTTTGTAACATTGAAAATGCCTTTACTGACACTTTTGATCAATTTAAAGCATTCTTGATGAATTAAAGTATATATTTTTTTGTTCTCCAAACTATTCATTGGTAGCATATCATGGTTTCCACAGAAATATTGTGAAGCTCAACTGTTTTCAGCATTGATAATAATCAGAAATGTTTCTAATAATCAGCATATTATACTGATTTCTGAAGATCATGTGACACTGAAGACTGGAGGAATGATGCTGAAAATACAGCTGCGCATCACAGAAATACATTACAGTTTAACAGAGATTCACAGAGAAAACAGCTGTTTTACATCATAATAATATTTCACTGTTTTTACTGTATTTATAGATCAAATAAATGCAGCCTTGAGCAGAAGAGACTTGTTTCAAAAACATTAAACATTTGGATTATTTCAAACTGTGGACTGCTAGTGAATCTGTTTCTGTATAATATGTAGCTCATCAGTTGTACTGGAGGTCAAGTAGAACATAATTTCATTGACATTCATGCATTTGCTGATGCTTTTAACCGAGTGAGATTCATTTCAGTTCATATATTCCCTGGGAATCAAACCCATGTGTTTGGTGTTGCTAGCGCTGTGCTCTATCATCAGATTTTAAAGTCTGAACTGAACTACAAAATGATGACAAATGACATGTACACAAAATTATTGTGATTAATAAATTACTCATTTCAGTTGTTTCACTGTGTGGCCAGAGTTGTTGATGAAGTGTGATGTGGTTGTGGTTGTGTTTGTGCAGCGCTCGTGTCAGGACGGAGGACGTCTGCTCCAGCAGAATGCCGAGTGGCAGAAGCTGCTGGAGTTTGTTCAGGCGGCGTGTCGCTACACCAGTGAACTCCCGCAGTGGGAGACCAGCACCCATAATGCACTGCGAGAGCACTGCTACAACACGCTAGCGGCGTTCTGTACTGCGGCACTGCAGAAACACAGACCCGCCGCACGCAGAGCTCGAGAACTGCTGCGCAGGTGAGCAAGCACACCAACAAACTCGTGTGAGTCTGTCACACACACACACACACACACACACACACACACTGCAAGAGCGATTTAAAATGTGACTTTTAATACAAATAAATAGAATAATTTATTGAGCCGCAGATTGAGAACGTGTTTGATGGGAATGACCCAGATTCTGCCTCTCGGAGCAGTGACAGATGAATCTGCGCTGATAACAGACACTTTCAGTCCAACATCAGAACATTAAACACGTGGCGCTGTGAAACAGATGTCTCTCGTCTGACTGATCGCTGTCTCAAACAGACAGATGTCCAATAACAGTGTTAAAGTGTCCGGCTCTGATCTTCCGCCTCTCCTAATGAGCAGACATTACGCTGAACATCCGAGGAGGATCTGGAGCCGCAGCAGCGTGTCATTAGACTGAGCTGAGATTCAAAGGGCAAAGGTCACAGAACTGATGAGGGCAGGAGATTTTAGAACACTTTCAGCTGCAGTTGCACAAGTTACACATCAGGTCCAGAGGAAACAGGTGTGTGTGTGTGTGTGTTCGGCCACCTGGAGGACAAACACATCTCGGGGTGACAGGTCTGTCCGAGCAGAAAACACAAACACACAATAACCTTGTAAAGCAGAAAAGGATTTCAAACTTGTAATTAAAACACTCAGAATGATGAAGCAGTTTGTTCTGCGAGTCTGAGGCCTGCAGTGGGTCGACATGCAGCCGTCTGTTAGTGTGTGCGTGAGAGAGAGAGTGTGTGTGTGTGTGTGTGTGTAAATATATGTTAAATATATGTTGAAAACAGTGAAAATAAATTTTTTAAAACTGAAAATATATTTGGTTACAACCTTCATATACCAAAATATATTTTAAAATGCATTTCAGGGACAAGAAAATAAATTTCCAATCTTACAGTAGCCTACATTTAATGTAATCTACTAGCCCACTAGAGATTATAATGATTTATAATGATTTTTTTTGCATATAGGAACATTGTTAAGTATGTTCCTTGTTGATTTTTTGTCGAGGGAACATGCTGGATTCACGAGGAAACGTTTAACAGTCTTTAACCACGAAACACAGGAGATCATCCACAACAGGTGCTTGAGCCAACACACGGAGAGAACGAGTAGACCCGACAAACACAAACTGAACAGACTAGGACATAAATACAGGATGATTGGGGAAACGCAGGTGCATGGGATCGTAACCAAACTAATTAAGAAAACGAGGACAGGAACATGACCAAATAAGCAAACAGAAACAGGGGCAAAGCATGACACAGACAGTCCATGATCCTCACATTTTATTCAGTTATGTGATTATTGTGTGTTCTATGTTCACACGTATTATGGAAAACAAATAACTTTTGTTTTAGTTTTTTTCAAATGTGGCATATGTCAATGTATTGTGAATGTATATGCATTTTAAATTGCTTTTAAAAATATATATATTTAAATATTTCAAATATATTTAGGAAAATGGCCAAAATATATATTGGTAAATAATATATTTATGCCAATAATTTATTTATTTATTGCTGTATGGGGCAAGATTAAGCAGCACCCGCCGCCCGTTGCATCCTCACTATTAGTTAAAATATGTGAATCACATGAAGAGCAGCCTCTGTCTCATCACAGGTGTTCTGAGAGAGCAGGGCATTGTGGGTAAAGTCCACCTGTAAAAGTAAAGGTGACGAGGTCATTGACCTCTGAAGATCTGAACTCGGGTCAGTCCAGCGGATGTGAATGTGATGGACACAGAACGAGCAGAACAGATGCTGCATTCCCCGAAAAACCGCTTGAAAATATCAACTTTGCGTGTCACCGAACATGAGCGCGAGTCAGATGCTTTCAGAATCAAGGCCGTTCTTTCAGGTGTTTTCTAGAAGTGGTGATCTGCGCTAATCATAGAGTCGTGACGTCAAAAGACTAATTCAGCACGGGCTCCCTAGAGATTTCTGTATGGGGTTTATAGCACACGTCCATCACGGAGACCCTATCTGACGTCTGCAATACATCTACAGGACGTTTCCTATCAGATAGGCTTCAGATAGCACACGCACGTCTGTTAAAGATACACCGGAACTCACCGAAAAACACAGAATGCACTGAAACTCAATGAAACTACAGACCCATTTTGCACGTTTACATACTTTACAAAGCTGAAATACTATCAGAGTAATAGTGTGTCAGACTCTGAAACAAATATTGAAATGCTATATAATTATTTCAGTCATTGCCTCGGGCTGCTATTAACTGGATTTTCCAGTAGGATGTAGTTTTTAAATGATTAGGGATTACTGAAACACATTTTGGTTTTTGCTCATTTAATTTCATAAGCTTTGAAATTTCAACATGAAACATCTTTGACTTTGTGTCAATTACATTCATAACGAATCCTTCATTTCCGCTGGTACCTGATAGTTACTTTCATCTAAACACAAATAAAACATTTTTGTAATAGTGCAATCTGTTTAATATTTGATCTACTCTAAATAAAAACAAGTTTACATCAGACATGGTGTTGTACTCAAAACAGGTTTGAAGAAAAAAATCTGTGTTGAATTGTGCTGGAGTTATTACTAATGACATGTAAGTGTGTCAGTATATATATAGTATATATGTACTGTATATATTGGTGACTGCAGATGAAGACATATGTAGTTTGTGTCTCATTTCTCTCTCACAGATGGTCATTTAACAGTTCAGTGAAACACGGAGCACAAACAAATCGTTTCTTCAGTCAAAGGGAATCATGTTCAGGTGAGATTTGAGCAGATGTCGCTGTATGAAGCTCATCACGCAGTCAGACGTGATTCTGAGTGTGAGGAGGCTGAATATGGAAATGCCTTCAAATCAATTATGAATCATTTCTTTTGCATTTCATGAAGTGCTTCACTTGTGTCTTTGGAGCACATGCAGTGATGTGAAGATGGAAATGTGTGTGTTCTTAAATCAAGATGCATTTACTAGATAATGACATAAGATATTTAGCCTGGTTTCCTGAGGGGGAAAAAATCTGAATTAAGTTAATTTTGCTTAAAGCAAGTAAAATTATGCCAGTGTGGGAAGAAAATAATCTTGTTTTAAGACCCCACTGGCAGATAATTTGACTTTACATCTTATATCATTTTGCTTATCTAGTAAATGCATCTTGATTTAAGAATTTTTAGATATTTTGTCTAGAAACAAGAAAATTTTATTTCATACATGCAGTGATACGAAGATGGAAATGATGTGTCTACGTGTGTGTGTGTGTGTGTGTGTGTGAGTCCGTGTGTGTGTGTGTGTGTGTGTGCGCGCGCGTGTGTG